TAATATTTCCAGGATCATATAACAATCGAAATGTCCCTCAGGGACATCCTTCGAATGTCCCTTAGGAATATCCGTCAGATGTCCCAATTGGTACATAAACTGTACTATTTCCATGTTCTAGAAATAACGTCCTATATACAGACGTACCAGTCGGTACTTTCAATATGTTCTCCCTGCGAGGACGTTAACACCTTGCCGACGAAAGATTGCTCGTAGGCTATTGATACTCCCCGTCAATGTCCTTCACGTAAGTTCATTGGACATCCTTGGGAAACTTTTTCAGGATCCAATAGACATCCAGGGTACCAAATTCGAACGTCCTATGGACGTCCTGAATGTCTCGACAAAACGTCCTGATGATATCCATAGGACATAATTGTAAGATTGATTGACTTACCTTAGGAAGATCAATCTCTATTATTCGAACATCGTAGTCCTCCTTTGGTTGTTGATAGATACCTTTATTTTGTGCCTCGGTGTTCACATCTTGAAAGATATAGGAATTTTTTTGTCCCAGTCCTTATCGTCTCACCTGACTAATACGGCCGGTGCTGATTCACAATTCAGTCTCTATTTTGTGCCCATCTAGTAGAGCACTTTATATATGGGACCAAGGGTGGGTGGGTTGCACCAAAGGAGGACTACGATGTTCGAATAATTGAGATTGATCTTCCTTAGGTGAGTCAATCAATCTTACAATTATTCTTCACATCTACGTCCTCCTTTGGTTGTTGATAGCTGTTTAGAGACCTGGACAATAAAGTGCGCTATGAACCAAACTTTCAAAACATCAACGTTATAATACTGGATACGACAATACTCATTCTGATGAACAATTACACTGAATCAATTCAGTGAACAATATAACAAACAATATAAATAAACTATATCTTATTTGCGATTTGAATCTTCTATACTTATGGTTTCATATTCTTCAGGATTCGGGGCCTAAGGTTCATTATGAAATTTGTTGAATACTGAAGACGACTCAGTCCAACCTTCTGTCTTTCTAATGATCTCTTAACTTAGACCTGATCTGTGCGCAGCTGATGAGGAGGAATGTCTGACACTGTGCGCAGTGAAAATCGTTGTGTCAATTACACTTTCTACCAAAATATTTTGGAACCAACGACAGATGGATTGTGTCGTTGCTGCTTTGTGAGGTTTCTCATGGCTCAATATTGAAGTTTCGACATTTTTGGGTCTTATTGAACTTGTTATTGATATATAATATTCGATAGAAGATGCTGAAAATAACTCAGGTTTCTCCCTGAAGTATGGAAAAATAAGTAATGGTTGCAATTTATTTCTAACCGTTTTTTTTTCTTTCATTAATATCTATTCCTATTCAATTCTTGCTTCTCATTATATTATTTGAAGTAATTACTGACATTAATGTTTGAACTCTGTGTGCTGAAACAAATGCGAGTAAAGTCACAAATTTTTAAGTTAGTTCTTTCAATGTAATTTGATCTAGTGAAAATAACTTGCTCAGCCCAACACTATAGAAGGATGAGTGAGAATATTTTGGTAGAGATGGATTTAGATTATAAGCCTCCTTCAAAAATCTGTTGAGAACTATTTTATCATTCGATTTTATTTCAAATAATAGTGACAGAGCAGATCTCGATGTGTTCAAAGTTGAATGACACATATTTTCTCTGACCAGCTTTGATGAGGATTTCAAAATATTATCCATACTATAAGTACATGGCTCAAAACTCTCAAAATACCAAACTTCCACAATTTTTTATGAACACGGAAGTACTTTTTCATTTCCTTGATAATTTCGCTGCCTCCAGGAAAAGGGAGCCGTAGAGAAGATGAGCTTTCCTAGAAGGAGATAGCAATAGTCATTTTCGAGCAGAAATGTTCGATGATTTCTCAACTGAAAGTTCGCAGAAGGTTGAGTACGAAGAAACAACGATAATACCAGTCGCCTCATCGATTAGAATTTTTTGTAGCATCTTGTGGACAACAGACAATGGGGGTAATGTATAAAAGTTCAGATTACTCCAACTCATTGTGAATGCATCTGTTGCAATTGATCCTTAATCCGGACTCCAAGAAACAAATCTCTCACCATTTTTTTTTGAGGTACGCCAAGTCTTTCAACGACTTGCTGAAATACTTGAGCATTCAATTCGTATTCTGCATCCACGGAAGTGTACCTTGAAAGTTTGTCCGCATCTACATTATCCAATGAACTGAAATATGAAGCAAAAACTGTGATATTCTTATTTTCACACCAGAGCCACAGGTCTCTTGAAATTTCATCAAGGTGTCAAAAACGACTGCTCCCCATTTCATTGATGCATGCCACGGCTGTGACATTATCGATTCTTATAAGAATATTACGGTTCAGAGATTTTTTTTTTCTTAGAAACTCTTGAGTGCTCTGCATACTGCTTGTATTTTCAACCAGTTCATATGTTTTTTCCCTCTTCGGAGCTCTAAAAACCTTCTAGCCACTTGTCATCACAAACATCTCCCTAGCCAGTGGTTGAGGCATCTGAAAATATTTCATGGGAAAACGGTTTTTGCTTTACTTCTTTTCCTTCCTTGGTGACATTGAACAACCACCACTCAATTTCGACTCCCAGTGTAGGAGATAGTTGCATGTTCGCATTAAAGATCCCCTGATTATGCTTGATTTCTTAAATTTTCTCTATTTCGAACTTTTTCTAATAGAGCCAGCCATCTTATTGTAGGGGAAACTGATAGCAATTTCCCACCGATGATGCGAACGTTCTGATTTTGCACCTATGTTTTTCTGCGATCGATCTCAGACATAATATAACATCCGTAATTTTTTCTTGTGGCAAACTGATGGTCATATTTTTTGAATTGAATATGAACCCCAAATATTTCACTTTGCAGGAAGGCTCGACTTGACTTTGTTCATAATTTGTTAAGAAACCCAAAATTGAGAGAACTTTTTCTGCTTCATTAACGAAATATTGACCTCTGGAAAATGCATTAAAGATCCCCTGCTTGTTCATCACTGCATATCCTTCTTCCTCCCTTTTCTCTGCTTTCATTTTGGGTTTTTTAAAGCTGCTTCTATAGTTTTCTGTATTCATTCTAGTTTTTACTACACCTTCTTTGAACATATTTCTCTCCAGTTCCTGTCCTAATTTCTCCAGTGACTGACAGTTCTTCACTTTCTCCATGAAATTTGATCCAAATAATAGTTCATCGATTGGAGACTGCTGGGATGCCGCTTTTGTTTCCAAGTTGATGTATGGAACCATATTCGTCCTCCTCTTCATAGATAAGGCATGATGAGTATTTGCAAACATTTGCCCTGCTTCTGTCACTTGTTGAATCCTCTCTGGTGTTAAAATTAAGTCATCTTCAGGATTCATCACCTTCTCTTTTTCCTATAATGTTTAAAGAACATCATTCGTTCCTAGGGGGGATAGAAACAGGAAGTAGGATTGTGATTAAAGCTGACAAACCTTTCCCAATTTGTTCCTGTAGTGCCACTAAACATTTTTCGGACAATATTGCAAACTCTGGCATCAAAGACTTCAATTCTCCATCCATTTTGGAGGTGTTAGAGCTGTTAGATTGTCTGGTATTGGGTATTTACCCAGGAGCTCATTTCTAGTATTCAATCGCACTCCTTCTCGTAGAAGGAAGTCCACGTTGAAACTTGATCATTGTTGAGAGTGCTTCCCGTTTTTGCAGGGCACACACTATTTATTCCCAAGATTTTAAAAGTGCCCAATATCATAGAGGTACAACAAACGAACTGCTATAGCACGTCATTTGATCATCATATCACCTTATTGCATCAACCATGCCCAACGTCATAGTAAGTGTTATGTGTTTTTTCACTGTACCCAATGTCACAAGTTCATATCGGTTTTAGTGCCCAATGTCACTTAATAATACCAAACATACATTTACCTTTCCTCATTCCCTTATTCGTATTGTTTTCAACAACACTACGCCCATGGTCATGGAAAAAAATTTAATAAACATTTAGTTTATTACTTACAGCTCGTTGAACCGTCAGTTTCCGAAGCTTGGGTAATGTTCCTTTCCATTCGAGCTAATGTCTTCTTGATATACGCCATCTCATCCATCAATTTCCTCTTTTCTCTTCTATATATAAGTTTCGGAATTCTGAATAAAACACGTAAAATTTCACCAAAACTGATTCGCTTTTAACACTTGTGATCACTTCGACACAAAATAAAAGACTGAATTGTGAATCAGCACCGGCCGTATTAGTCAGGTGAGACGATAAGGACTGGGACAAAAAATTTCCCATATCTTTCAAGATGTGTACACCGAGGCACAAAATAAAGGTATCTATCAACAACCAAAGGAGGACGTAGATGTAAAGAATGGTTCACAATGAATACAGGTATTAAGTAGCTACTGAACTTATATGCCTTACAAATCTGATATTGAACTTTGGAAATCTTGATAGTGGTCTAGGTGAACATGGTCAAGAAGTAGATATAATGATAGATTGAACGTTTCACCTGTGAGGAAGTTCAATCTTAATTATACTATCAATCACGTCGCATAGATCACTTCTACCTTTGCTTTTATGATCCCACTGAGAGTATCAGACTTATTCTTCGAACGTTTTGACAACATAACATTCAGGAGCAAAATGAATGTACCACCTTCTCGATTAACCTACAGACAGTATTCAAATTTGTTTTTGTTCAATTATAGTGACACACTCAGTATAGTTCCGAAGCGTAACTATACATGGTGGTCTATACGTGGTCTATATCATATAATGAAGATTGAACTTTCAATCAGCATACAGTGTTGTATTGATATAATAATATATAATATATATATATATATAACGTATATGATGAAGGCAGTCTCAGGAACTGCTGATGAGACTGCAAGTCCTGTGAAATTGGTTCCTCACAATTGTTGTCTAATCAAATGAGTATGTGAATCTGTTGTCAAAGAAAAATATGAATCTGCATGATATGTTCGGAAAAATACAATCACTAACTCACCTAAAATAGCCATGAAGAAACCGTACATTTTACACATGGTTTTTCCAAAAATCCATCTCTGGGATAAAGCTGACGATAATGTCCAGGGATTACCCAGAATTGATACAGAGAAGTCACTGCATACCAGGTTGAACAGAATTATATTCAACGGAGTCCACAACTGCAAATATAAGGAGATCAAATTATTGAATCGAATTTCCCTTTGTTAATTTCGCAAGTTATCGATAGTATCGATTTTTGATCAAACAATTCACATTCACCACCATTTGTGAATCTTTAGTATATCTGCATAGAACTCATGCAGATGAATTTCAAGTAAATGAACATTCCGTAAAAGTATCATTTCAAAATTGAATGAATATTTGATTCATTACTTCTTATCATCACATCTGGATATCGAAACATGAATTTCCTTAATTATTATCTCATTATGACATATTTGATGTACTAGTATTATTATTTATTATGGTGTTATGATATTCCCCTAAGAGGGGCTCTAGAAACATCAGCAGGAAGACAGGAGTACAACGATCATCCTGTAACACGCATCCCAGATTGTTCTTCAACCTCCCAATGATTTCTACATGCACCAGCATATTTCCGAATACTCAGTACATGCCACGGTGACAAATAACGTGACCGAAGATTCTGGAATGTTCTGGAAACAATCGATGGAACAATTAGAGAGAGAAGTATGGTTCTAAGAAGCTTCTAGAACAAAAAGAAGGAGACGGAAGATCATTCGAGAACGTTCTCGATCCAAAGCTTACCAAGGGATCTCATATATAAACGGCCGGACAACTGCCGTCAATCAGTTGAGCAGCGAGTGTCAGAGAGACAGTTATAGTAGTTATAAGTTCGATATGAATTAGTGTTTCTTCAGTTCAAATAAATCAGTTCGAAAATAAATAGTGTCGTGTTCGCTTCTGCACCCGAAAATAACGTAACAATACATATAATATTCTGAAGGAAAAGTCGAGCAAGTTGACAAATTCAATTTTATGCGATGACTAGTTTTGGGTCAGTCGAAGAAAAAATCATTCATAAAGTTTCATCCGACCTCAGATCATTGTGACAATAACTTTTTGGAGTGCAATAATTCGTCTTAAGAAGCGAGTTGAATATTTGTTCACATTTTGCATTCATTGCTTCAGAATTTGCTCCATAAAACCACTGATGAAACAGCAATCGAAACATTTGAAGAAGCGAAAAACACTGAAAATTCATTCGTTCAATCATGCCAATTAACATTGACATCATCAACATTCAGATATCTGAATTATGTGCCTAAGTATATCTCGAAAATGATTTTTGAAGACACAAACACAATTTGCATCCCTGAAAAGGAATAATTTGTCCATGGATCTAGAATGATTTGTGCAAATGCCTGTGAATCAGTCATATTCACTGAAAAGTACACATCTTGGAATGAACTGCACTCGAGTTCAATCTCATTTGAAAATATCATCACAAGGGTATAGGTACAAAAACCTTATGTCTTCCGAGAGTCATATAGATAAGGTAGTAAAAAGCACTTATACGTCTCTCGTATATTAATAGGTTTGTGCTGAATTTCACGTTTCTTGAAACCCTGTGTGGCAGTCTTGTACTCTCAGTTTACTTATTGTGATTTTTTATTATGGTCATTGTCTCGATGCCGTGTATAAGTAAACAAGATACAAAAATTATTCAACTTTTGCGTGCGCTTTATATATGGTTTACGTCGATATCATCATGTTTCCGATAAACTAAGAGAGTTAAACTGGCTCAATATGGAAAACCGTAGGAAACTTCATGCATCCATTTTTATTCACAAAATGATGAGAAACGATGACAATATTGCTAATGGGATCAGTAAGCTACTACCAAGATTTCCTCGAAGATTTCTGAATTCGGTTAACGTTAGGCTAAGATAATCTAACGATGCCACATCATTCGACATCCTAATTTCATAGGGGTTTCACGTACAATGCTGTCAAACTTTACAACTCAATTCCTCAGCATGTTGAGATGATGAGTTCATGATCAATAAAAAAATACATTACTGATAGTCTTGGATCAGTACATCAACTCCATTTATTTTTCACTGTTGCCCGTATTTTTTTCTGACAGTTTCTCGAGTTGAAATCCCTGATTGAAGGCAACAATACTCAGATTAAGAATTTAGAGACTCCGAATCTAAAATAGTGCTCGATTGTAATTCGGTGGGCCAAGTTGACGAATATGTAATCCACGCATATTGCTGATGGTTTTTCCAATTCTTCCAATCGGAGGCTCCCAAATCGCGACATCTCCACAGCTTACAAACTCTTCGGACATCACAAGATTGACAAAAATTGAGAGAAAAAACATCGAGATTCGTTGGCAATTCTAGTTGTGACGTTTTCAAATGTTAGGATCGGTTTGGTCGCTGGAAAATTTAGAACAGTGTTTTTTCGCTGTCGCAGTTGAAACACGAGAGCTATTATTTATCGGATATAGTACGCTCTCTAACGAAAAAATATGCCAATCTGTAATCTTATTAGCAAAACTGACATCAAAACATTGTGAGACCTCAGGTGGAGCCATTTTGTCAGGTTTTCCAATTTTCAATTACTGATGAAGAATTTTTGACTAATAGTCAGGAAATTTAAATAAAAAAGATTCAAGTGTTCTTTGCAAGCTGAATCTTCGACAACTATCTCTAAAGATATTGAAAAGGAATATTCTCAGATACATTATGAACATGAAAATAGGGATTTGAATGAACTACGCAACACTAATTTCGTCGCACCCGAAAATGTTGTCCCTGTTAAAATATGAATAACTTTTTTCTGCTTTGAACAATTTGAATTCGGATTACACCTTTTGCTAGCTCAGTCCTTCAGCTTTAATCTCGTACTTTTTCAAAACATGAGGTTCTTCATATAATATCACTACAGGGTGTCACCTGAAACTGTGAAGAATTTCGGAATTTTCAGAAGTATCCCAAATGAACAAAAACTTTTTTTTTCAACTTCGACAGCATAGGCATGAAGATGATCTCATTACCTAGGGACATTTTTCGAATTGTCTTCTTATCTCTTTTATTCACAGACTGACAAAAAATGAACTTTCTGGTTTTCCACTCATAACTTTTTTCCGTTTTTGAAAACTCATTTTGAAGCTGAAACTTCAGATAAAGAGATATGAAGATCAGAATTGACTCAAGGTGATCATTATACAGTGTGTCACACTTCTAATGGAAGCACCCCTGTATGTTTCGTAATTGTTGAGTTAGGATTCTGAAACTTACTGGAGCGGGAGATATACTGAAAATAAACACTATGACCCAGTAGAGTCACCGCTAGTGATAAACACTGCTCGCCAACAGCCCGAATTCCTGGAAAATGTTATTAGGAGCCACAGATAAGTTAGAAATCACTTCGGATTTGAAATTAGGACGTCCAATTCACTGACTATACATATTGTTCCTAGAAAATTTTCAGTTCAGAAAAATTTTATTTTGTCATTTTCTCATGGAAGAACTCCCGTATCTCACGTAATTATTGAGGTAGGGTTCTGAACTCTGGAGGAGGAAGCGAGAGGGGCGTCCTGATTTTGAATCCGATGGTGGTTCTATGGCTGTTGGCGAGCAATGTATATCACTGGAGACGACTCCACTTGGTCATAGTGTGTATTTTCAGTATATCTACCGCTCTTGCAAATTTCAGAATCCGAACTCAACGAATGCGAAAGATGCTTCCATTAGGAGTGAGACATACTGTTTAATGTTTATCTTGACTCAATTCTGATCTCTTTATCTCTTCATCTGAAGTTTCAGCTTCAGGATGAGCCTAAGATTTCAAAAATTGGTTGACGAGGAAAAACATTATGTCTGCAGAACCAATAAGTTAATTTTTTGAGATCCCTCTGTGGATAAGAGAAATAAGGAGACAATTCGAGAACTGTCCCAAGATAATGTGATCATCTGAATGCCTCTACTGTCGAAGTTAAAAAAAAAAGGTTTCTCTTCATTTGGGATACTTGGGGAAATTTCCGAAAATTTGTGAAGAACCTGATGTTTTGAAGAATAACGAGATTATAGCTAAAGGACTGGGCTAGCGAACAGTGTGATCTGAATTCAAATCGTTCAAAGCAGGAAAAAAATTATTCATATTTCAACAAGGCAAAAATTTGGGGTGCGACGAAATTAGTGTTGCGTAGTTTATGAAGAAATACATTGAAAATTCGCATTCTCTATGTCATGATAACTTTCCTTTTTGAATACTTTCACTCAATCAAGGAGTTGAAACTTGAACGATGGAAACTTGTTATGTTTATAGACCCTCAATCGCAGATTCCTGATTAGGGTTTCTCAATTCAGGATGGAAACTTGTTATGTTTATAGACCCTCAATCGCAGATTCCTGATTAGGGTTTCTCAATTCAGGATTTGTTTCTCCACGTCCTGTATGATGAATATTAATTTGTCATACATCCACAAAAAAATTCTATTGATGATTTCGTGTTACTTGTAGTTTGCGAAATAGATTTTTTCAAATTATTGAGGCTTCTTCAGATGAAATTTCTTCAAAACAACTCATCTCACGAATTTTTGTTCGAACAATACCAAACCATCACATACTTGACACAACAGAAACTGTGATGGGCTTATACTAGATGAAGTATGCATGGTTTTGAGGAACAGGCATTTTTATACCTTCCTAGAGACGACCAATCACCAGGCATTCGTAGTGATGAGAGAGCTATCTAGCTTCCATAATACACTTTTATTATACTTTATCACCAACTATTACTAACAACTAACTGTCACCGTCACTACCGTCAGATAATTTTCGTTCCCAACACGTCATTTATTTTTCAAACCAAATTGTCTTTATAATGTAGTTTTACAATGTTCTTCCAAAAATACATTCCAGAGATGTTTCTATTGATAAATATACATTTCAAATTGAATTCAATTTTTTTGTCATTAGGCACAAAAATCTCGAAGTAGTTCGGCGTCTGCGGAGCATGCGTCGTAAAATTGAATAGTGGTAGGGACTTCGCGTAATCCTAAGTCAGTCATATCAATGTTGCCAGATTGTGCTGATTTTCTCAAAGTCGGGGAAGAAAGTTCTTCGATGATCTTGAACTGATAGGATAACTCAAAAATAAGAAAGAAGCATTTTCACGAATT